GAGCTCCAGCAATCATTCAGTCGATTCGGTGCAGGAACAGGCAAAGGTTTCCTCCATCAAAGACTTTTTGGGTGACTCAATAGCGCCAGTGTCAGGCTTGGCGCGGGCTTTAGCGTGCGTCTTTATCATTAACAAATGATATTCCATTATTATCCTTTCTGAACACGCTCCAGAAATGACGAGGTGCAAGGTGTCGCGCCGGGACTTGACTTGTACAACCTGCCTTCCGGTGTCACGCCATTGTCTCGCGTGCAACGAGTGGCGCTTGCCGGAGGCAAGCGCGTTCTTTTGACATCTGTGCAGTCGGCCCAGATTCAGGTCGCCGCACGCAATAGGGGTAAACTTACTCCGCCGACCCCAGAGGAAGCAGCCCGTTGGTGTGAAGCACCAGAGATCGGGCAGCTTACATCCCCTTGGTTTACCTACCAGGCAGTGCGCAGCACAGAGTGCTGGTGCTGCATGGTCCGCACCTGGATGTTGAAGGCTGCATGTCGCAAGTTATTGGAGCGGGAGCCGTATTCCGACGATGAGTACATCAGTCCCATGGAAATTTAGAGTCTCTGATTCGCGAAATCTTTGATGTACAACCTCTTTCGCTATACCATCCGATAGCGTCGCTTCCAAAACCTACTGATTCTACCACATGTACGTGAGCGACATCGCTTCAAACCTACATGTACGTTACCTCGCGAGTGATCCCCATCTGTAATTTGTACATCTGACAATAAGATAATTCGAATCAAAAGCAAAGGGCAAAATACTATTTCAACGGTACAACAACAGTACTACGACATATATTACACGGCCGAGACAGGCGCTCCGGTGGTGAAGGTCTCCGGCTGCCACTTCTTCACAGCTTGCTGCATGTAGCAGTGGCGGTAGTACGCGAGCGCCTCCAGGCGGGTGGACTTCTTGAGGCGGTGGGCATCAGGTACACCATTCACCTGGTCGTTGGACTCGTTGCTGCAAGTATTCAATCAGATTAAACGAATTAAATTGGAAGGCAGAATGCGACTTACGGGTTGGTGTAAAGGCCCGGTTCACGGCCGATGGTGACAACGTGGTGCGGAAGATAATCCGCAGGGCCAGGCGGGTGAGCAGCATCCATTTCATCCGGGGTGCGTGGGACTCCAGGGACCCAGGCAGGAGGAGGTGCTGAAAAAGAGTTAGCATCGAAGAGAGAGAGGCGGTGTGGCGGCGTACGGATGTGTGCCGCAATCTCGGCCTCCAGTGCAGCGTTGTAGACGATGGGGAGGCGTGCTGGGGAGAGTGAGAACGAAAAGAGAACAGATGGGCAGGCAGACGTACTCTGGACATCAATGCACTGCTGCGTCATGCTAACCGCCAACTGGGAGAGCGCTGCAACCTGTGCAATCAGCGCCTGCAGCTCCACTTGGGGGCTGGAGGCGCTGTTTGCAGCGGCAGGAGTGGGCACATCGGAGGACATGGTGGAGTGAAGGAGGGAGGCGATAAGAGAGGTGCACTGAAAAGGAGATGAGATATAGACGAATTGGGTATCAGGCGGCTGGTTACCCACAAGATCCGATAAAGTCAGATGTTTTGCAGCGGCGGAGGTATCACCCAGTTGGGATATCAATTTCAAAGATTCGGAAGAACCACGCTTGAAGTGGTTGCTACTAGTGTATCCGAATTGGGTGCCCAGTGCGGCCGAAACAGGATGAAATGGCGGCCCAAATGAGGGAGAATGTCGTAGTAGTGAAAGATAAGGCAAGGCACCCCACTAGAAAATAATAGTCAGCTTGGAATTTGGAACATAATTTCCGCATAATAATTGGAAACAAATATCGGGTGATATATGTAGTACCGATATACCAGGCGTTGTTCCTGATACACCACCCACCCACTGAAAAGTCTCACCGAAAAAACAAACCTTTGTACCCCATTGTCGACCGTTCGCGCTATACTCACCATGGCACCCCATACCTGGCACAACGTCGACCACAGGGCTTTTTTTGCCATACATATGCCCGAATTCATTCTCCGGCGTGGACAAGCCAAGCTCTACAAGTTCTGGGGCCCGATGTACGAGGCCTGGTTCCATACGTTCCCCGAGCAGGGATTTCTGGGCTGGGCGCTGCCTGGGCCTGATGCACCGAGTCTCACCGCTGAGGAGCATACCGTGCTCGGTGCCGCAATTGTGGCTAGAAAAAAAGTTGGGAAGCTTCATCTGTATACGACGTGTCATGACCTCACCGGAATTTTTAGAAACTTGAAAACTATTTCCGCAACAACAGCACCAAGGTACAGACGGGCAGCGCGAAGCACCAAAAGTCCGAGCTCGGATTGGCTCGCGCACTCTTCCACGCGAAGCCGGCACGCGAGCGTGTCCACAAGGCCAGCGAAATCTTCCAAATTCGCAACAACGCCCTCATTCGACGAGAGTGTGAGCGCGAGGGCTACAACGAGTTCGACGGGGAAGCCATGTCGAAGACGAACGACAATTGGGTCAACGAGGACGACGAGGTCACCGTTGCGCGCACCAAGGAGGCTGCAGCAATCAGGATGCGGATTCGTACGAGGGTGGTGAATGCGCTATTTGCGGAGGCGTCGGACGAGGAGCTGGCAGCGATTGCGGATGTGATTGAGCGAGAGAAGGCCGGGGAGATTGTTAGGGCGAGCGAGGACGAGGAGGTTACACGCACGCCAGCGGAATATCAAGCGTAGGTTATTCAGAATCAATAAATACCATGATTTTTGACACGAGCTGCTTTAGGTCCATCGAGGAATCGTGGGAGGTGATCAAGAAGGTCCACAAGATTGTTGAGGAAAAGACGGGCTGGTATGGGATGACTATCTGGGGAGGCCCAAATCCACGACTGGGCGGAGCGCTGAGCATGAAGTGGTAAGTCCGAATATGGAAATACCGGCATCGTGGCTTACGAGACGAATACATTCAGCGTCTCCTTTGGACTTTCACCCGCCGGCAACGACTTCGAGGCTTCTCACGCATCGTTTGACACCTCAGTAACCACACCGTTTCAACAGCATCTCAAGCGCTGCTTTCGTATGTCATATCTCAGGTGGTCTTGTTTGAGTACTGACACGTAGCATCTTAGCTCTGTCCGTTCGCCAAGAGCGAGCTCTCGGCCCCAGCATTCACGGCACGGCGGAGGATGAGCCCATCGATCCCTTCTTCCGCGTACCTGAGGAGGTTGCAGCTCAGGAGGCCCAGCACGCGAAGCCCAAGCGCATGAAAAAGCCAAAGAAGAAGCTGCCTGCTGGCACCGCTACTGGACCTGCTACCATCTCCGCTGCTCCCTCCCCTCCCGCCGGTGTCGACCCTGCTCCCTTTGCACCCATCGACGTTATGAATAGCCAACTTTTGTCCATGCCTGACATCGACGACACATCCACTGTCCCCCCCGCAACTCTTCCCACTGCCCTCGCAGCCGGTGCTCCCATCGATGACCCGAGCAGCACGCTTGTGCCGATGTACATCGATGAGGACCCTTTCATGGGAATGGGCGACTTCTTTCCGTCAAACGAGTTCACCCCACCTAGCGACGACTCCTGGCTAACTCAGTCGGGATCAAGCTATGACAAGCCACCGTCCACACCACGCACGTCATCTTCAGCCTCGTCAAGCACCCACGCATGGATGGATCAGGGCGAATCCAGATCCGGAGGCTCATCACCCGATATGAGCCTCATCCTCCCCCGTGGCACCCTTCGGCCTGTCAACCCGTCCCCCACACCTCACACTTTCCCACCGGTGCTGCCGCCCCCCGCGCCGCGCGCGTGTTTCCAAGGTGCTGCCTTTGCCATCAATCGCACCTTGTCGCCAAGAACGGCTGCTCCCGGTGGTAATGCGCGGATGGGGGAACTATTGTCATCCTTCCGGCGCCACACCGAGAGCCGCCCAGCATTGAATCCCTCATCCACGCCGTCGCAGATTCCCTTTGCATCCACGCCGTTGCGGAATCCCTTTGCATCGACCCCGACACGCGGACCCACCAATGCAGCTAAGCGCTTGTCTGCACTGCTCTGCACGAGCGCTGTCCCGCCTGCAGCTACACCCACGGTCCCCGCTCCCTCCCCCGTGCCTTCCATGATCCCGCCCGCCACCTCCTTTCCACGGTCCCGCCCAATGGCAAACGACCCCGCCCCAGTCATTGCCAGACGTAAGGCCATGCTCAAGCCCAAAGGGATCGCAGCCCCCAAGTCGAAACCGCCCCCGGCGAAGGCGAAGGCCGCCGTGAAGGCCGCTGCCAGCAAAGCCAAGAGCAAGGCCGCGGTGGTACGGGTGGATAAGGTGGACGAGATGCAGGCAGAGGCGACGGCGCCAGCAGGGCCTCTCATCGACACGAGCAACACGGGCACCGAGGAGGGGCACTGCGAGTACGATCCAAAGAACAATAACCGGAACCGCCTCAGGGAGGAGAAGAGGAAGGAGAAGGCGGCGCGTGAAGCGGCACGGAATGCTCCTGGTGCTGCACGCCGCAGAGCAGAGGCATTGGCCCCAAATGTCCTCAGCTTTGTGAACGACCCACCTCCGATCGTCCTAGCCCCGCTGCGGTCAAAACGCGCACGCAAGCCCACGGAGAAAGATGGAGAAGTGGTTGAGTTGCCCCGGAAGCTGACTCGGGCGGCGATCCAGCAGAGGGCGAATGAGAAGTCAGAAGCAGCGCTGCTGGCACGCCATAAAAAGTTAGTCTTTCTCGCGGTTTTTTTTCTTGAGATTTTGTTTGGCTGACCTGTCCATAGGCAGAAAAAGGCTTGAGTACGCTTCACCGCGCTGACTTTGTAGTTAGTCGCTACCTGTTTTATGATGCTTATGCCAGTTATGCCAGTTTTATCATGTCTATGCCTACATGTTGCCCTGTACTATGAATTCATGCCCTATGCCTAGAAACATGTTTGAGATTTCGGAGACTTAGGTTTTTTTTTTTTGCCTTGTAAATTTTTGACTTGTAAATTTTGAGCGTAAAGTCCACATGAAAAAAGAAAAAGGAAAAAGGAAACAAAAAATGGTGATCGAATGTCAACAACCGGAATCGAACCTGTAACCTGCGAGACAACCGTAAATTGCATTAATATGCATGCCTTGCCACTAGGCTATCTTGGCACTATTGCCTCAGGATTTGTATGCAATAGTACACGGTGCTCATCGGTGCTGGACTTTGTAAAAAAAAAAATTCCTCGGCGAGGTGCCGCTCATAAATATCATGTATTATTTATAGTGGTATTAAATTGGCCTGTACGAATATTTGTAAAAGCGGGCTGAAGTGCGGAGCTGAGTTAGCGTGATATTTGCCTGTCTAAATAGTAAAGTGGCCGAAGGACGGATGGATAGAGAGAGGGGGAGGAGTGTAGTGTGAATATAAAAACACCAACATTTTTCACCGCGAGCGGTGGTCCCGATGTGGGCAACCGCAAGGGTGGGTGGCGTGAAGGGGTGCCAAATGCGGCATAGGGTCCAGGGGCCGCAGGAACAGAGCGCAGCGGCCCGGAGGGCAGGAAAAAATAGCGGAGAGTTTCCCGCCGTGGCCGTGAGAAGTGGTGGTGGATATGGGGAACCAGGAAGGGCAGGTGCCGTGAGGGGCACCAAATGCGGAAGAGGGTCCAGGGGCCGCAGGAACAGGGCGCGGTGGCACAGAGGGCAGGAAACGATGGGGGGAGTTGACCGCCGTGGCTGCAAGTAGTTGTAGTGGATTTGGGGAACCAGGAAGGGCGGGTGCCGCGAGGGGGCGCCAAATGCTGAATAGGGCGCAGGGGCCGCAGCAGCGGGAGCACGGCAGCAGAGAGGGCGGGAAATGACGGGGGATAAGTATAAGAGCGCCCCTGCACACGTGCGGCCGGAGAGGAGGAGGAGGGAGGCCAGCGGGTGCGCAATGGTGGGCGGAGGAAGGGAGGGACTGGGATCCTAACATATGTAAACACCTACTAAATTTGGGTGGCTTTGATGTGGCATCCCCGCCATTCTGCGCTCGCATCAGAGGCGCGTTGCGCACGGACCAGAAGGCGCATGAGGCACGAGCCAACGAGGAGCACTGCGGGAAGCTCCGTGCACGTGTAAAATCCACAAAAGGAGGCGTACATGGGCTGATATATCAGTGCGGATGGGCAATGGTCGAGGCTAATATATCAGGTCAGTTGGGACAATCATCCACCTTTGATATATCAATACCCCGTATACGCCTGGCGAGAGGGTGGACATCGTGAAGTTTGCAAGAGCCTGACTTCGCTTCGTGAGCATTCTTTCATCTTCTTACCCGTGCCGTTCTGATGTTGCCTGAAGCCCCTGCTGGACAGATATACGTTCTGAGAAAACGGGAGGAGGCATTCTTACGTCTCGTATTACACCGCGACTACCAGGCCAAGAAACTCGACATCCTCCTCAAACAGCTTTCCTTCATCCACCATACTCGCTCCACGAAATTCGTCACAGTGTTCGATTACATCCAGGGCGCTTGCGCGTTTCACGTTGTTGGAGTTGGCGAGTACTTTGGAGAGCAGTCTCCGAAGACAAGGCTCACTACTCTCTCCGTGGCACTCCACCACGTTCTTCTCGACGGTGGTGGAGCGCACGGCGATGTCCATTCTCCCCGTGTGCTATTTTGCAATTATGCCCTGCGATCCACAAACTTCACGCTACTCTGCGGGTTGGTGCGTATCGCCAATGCGCTTCCGGATGGCGCGGACGTTTCGCAGCTGGAACGATGCTGGCCTAATATGTTCGAGCAGGTGAAGCTCTTGAGCGAAATGGAAATAGCGGAGACTCATGGGTGACGTTGACCATTGACTTGAAATATTGTACGATTGGGAAATAATTTGCCTATCATCGAGTTTAGAGCCCAAATTACAAGAAACGGTATAGCCGCTCACCATAGCATCCGACTATTCCAAAATTAGCACGTGTTCAATTGTAAATAGGGGTGTGGCTTGATTCTCGCATAGGACTCAGGAGCCGCGATCGGTGGTTTCAGATATCCGCTACCCCCGCCGATCGTCATCTCGAACTCGATATACTGAAGACTTGTCGAGTTTCCGCCTCAGTACTGAAGTGCCTGCGCCAAGTGCATCTTCTTCTTGTTCCGGAGTCACAAAGTCGGGATATTTCTTAGCACGTACAGACATGCATCGGTGCGATCATTTTCTATTCGCACCCACAAATTACATCTTAAATTCCGAGTACCCCACAACGGAAGTCGGAAAGTGGAGTGTACAGCCATCAGGAGCGATCGAATGTCTCAGTCCCTTTTACCCCCGCCGTTGCATAAAAACCGGGTAAATTCTGGTCTATCCCAACCAACGATGTCGCTCACCACCACCACCACTACCTCCACTTCCCGCAGTTACGTTTGGAGAGCGTTCTCCCAGCAGATTGCAGGGCTCGTCGGCGTCAAACCTCGGGCCAGCGCGTCCAAGCGGAAACATCGCTCCTTGCCCCCCACTTCTTCGCCGTTTGTCGCACCACCCGCCGCAACTCACCGCCGGATGTCTGCCGCCTCCTTGCGGCCTGCCTTAAGGCGCGGCTCCACCGCCTCTTCTACATCGTGTTCTTCGGGCGAATCATCACCATCACCCGTGGAGAAAATCACATTCCCGATTATATCTCCAAAAGCGGACGAAAAAGTATTACTTCCTGGTACGTTAACCCTCTTAATTATTCTGCCTACAACCTTTTAACGGTTCGCCGCTGCAGCAAACACGAAGTATAATGCTGGCCTCCCCATAGCCGCCCACCCCACAAAGGACAGCTCCTACCTGCGGCTCCTCCCCCTAACCCGTATATTCACCATTACTCGTTCCACTCGTCAGAGACGCACCTCCCGCGTCTTCCCGGATCTACCGCCTCCTGCAGAGTGGGACGAGGTTTCGCTGACCATCGAGTCCGATGACTGGGACTCAGACTCGGAGGACTCGCAAGTACTCCCTGAGGCGGACCGGAAGGTGCGGTTCATGGTACCCGCACCACCTCCGCCTGCTGTCGAGGAGGACTGGGATGAGGAGCCCGTGTGGTCGGATTTCATGGTACGTTGATCCCGCCTTCCCGTTCATCACTGGTTTTATTGATGTATTCACTCTCAGTGATTTCCGAGCCACGATGATTTCTGCTTTCGCTGCGCCCTTCACCCCATCTTCGTCCCATTCTACTCATTTGGACATTCCCCTGGTTGTATATATCTTGTATTATAGTGTATTCCTTGTGTAAAGCATCCTCAAAAAATTCCAAGTTTGTTACTCTACCGATACACGGTTCTGCATTCGCTTGCAAATGGTCTCCGGTGCATGAGCATGGCCTATTCTCCACCCTCGATTTTCAAAGCAAAGCACGGGGCACAGAACCCGCGTCACGAGGTCGCGTTTGCCACCGAGAGAATTCACACGGTTACGAGAGAGGCATTGATTGATCGTCCTGTTAGAGGATCATTGCATTGGTGTGCGATCATGAAGAATACACATGTGGATGGAATAAGCAAGCCGGAGGTACGGAAGGCTGAAATCGATCGATCATATATTCGCCTGCTTAAACGACCTCATGTGCAAAGAACATGCGTCCCAATGGAGTCGCACGTACTTGACATAAGGAGTGGACATGGTGCAAGGGACTCCTTAGTGAGCCGAGTGTATGGAAGGCCGGGGCGAATATATGTTTTAATTGACGATTTAACACGAGTGCGGTGCGATTTCTGATAGACATAAAATACAACTAATGACACGAAGACGAAGACACCCAAACCGTGTGCTTTATTGGAACAACTTCTCATCGGATCAGCTTCGACGAAGATTAATGTTCACATTGAATTCGCCCCGTTTCACCTGGATGGAGTTTCGCTTTATTTTAAGTGTCCTGCCCCCCAGCACCTGTCGCGAGGTACCGTTGAATTACTGTGAATGCTGTCATAAATGTGTACTAATTCGCGAGCTCGGCCTGAGTGCCGAAGTCCAGACACAACACATATATTCTTGCACACATGATAGAACTAAGTACTAGACTGATTTGTCTGCTGTTTCGCATCAAGGCTCAGGCCCCGCAGGTGAGCACTCCATTGATGTTGCTCAACGCGTCGTCTGGGAGGTGTAGCAGTCAGTGAAGCTGCCTGGGGTGGACATTACATAGAGTTGAAAATGCTCACCCAAGTCGAGGCTGGTGCTGACGAAATTCCCGGCGGTATCTTTGCAGAGCGCACTGAGCGTGACTGGGCCGCTGAATGGAACGTCCTCGCACGAAGAACTGAAGCCGTTGCCGGTGGAGACCACACGGATTTGTAAGTGAACGACGATCGAGAGTTGGCGAAGGATGCTTACGGGTTCAACGCTCCGCCGTTGTTGGCGACGCACGCGTTGAGACTGATGCTCGTGCTATCTGTGCAGCCGGAATTGTTGCGGCACGTCGCGCTGAGCACGAGATCGCCCGAGTTGAAGCTGATATTGGTGCAGGAGCTGGAAAAGTCGGTGTCGGGAACGGGACCGTTAACGGGCGCAGCGAGGGCACCGGGTACGGCAGCCAGAGCGCAGAGGTCGAGGACGACGGAGGATAGAAGAGTGTTCATGGTAAGGACGGATGAAGCTGTCTTCTGGTCCTTATATTTTTTTAATATAGTACCAGGAAATTCAAGATGTGCTTGTTGCCCTAAGATACTGCGACTTGCATTCCGTGATTCTGACAGATTGGATATAATAATTTTGTACGGATGGATATAATAATTTTGTGGCCTGCATAAGTAGCGAGCACCCTGTATGGGTTCTCTACACTTGAAATATTTAGCGGTACTGTACATTACTATTTCCTTTATTTCACCGGCATACTTACATAGCTGTGCATCACAGCCGCCGAGCGTTACGAGCAGAAGAGGTACTTGTTCTTTTTCATTCATTTCTGCGGCGACTTCGTCATTCGGATCCGAACTGACGGCGAAATCCAGAGTCCCCCTTTGATCATGGAGACCTGCGTGCATAGGGATAATTGGCCATCTTTGAGAACTGGCTGTACAGTGCATGTGTCGGATTTACATGATTTTCGCGATTGCAATTTGCTTTCTTTAAATTTTCCCCCTCGTCAACAAGCGCTCAACAAGCGCCAATCAAATGCCAGCAGCCACACAACATCACACAACCACG